CTAAGATTGCTCAGAAAGTTTGAGTGACACTTATTTGGACCCTACTGCTGTAAATACTTTCCCACATACTGGTGAGTCTAACAGAAGCTTAATTCAAACTGGAGGACGGTCCTAGCCACATCACATTCTGTGCCTGAGAACTTGAACAAGTCATTTAGCCTCCGTAAAATCTGTTTCTAGTCAGTTTCATGAGAGCTAATAATGGTGTCTACATAAAAGGCTTGTTGTGAGGATTGAATGTGGAACTAACAAACAACTGTGCTTAGGAGAAATCCTCAACTGTATTTTCCTGATGGATACTTTTAACAATATGTCCACTGCAATGTGCAGAAATTTCTGGGGAAGTTTTTTATCATGTTGGAAGGAAGCTTAGTAAGGACAGTCACCAGGAGCCTTCAATGACAAAAATACACCTGTTTCATGGTTACTCAACTAGGGTAATACCCATGAATACAGAGTGCAGAATTGCATAGGAACAAAAATCTGACCTAGGCAAACAGCCCCAGGAGTAAGGGCCCCTGGACTCTCTGCTTTGGATTCTGCTCTGGGCTCTGGGCAGTCTGCCCACAACAGTACACTGCTTGGCTGTTTGTACACTGTTGGACACTCTTCTTTGTTTTCCAGAGGCCCCTCCTTTTACTGCCCCAGGCTCAAAACAGCTGACTACACCCCCATCTCTCAAAAGAAATATAAAACTAGCTACTTACTTCTTAGAGATTCGCTTGGCCTTCACCATCTTCACCTGTAGCTGCTGTTTTCCTTTAGAGTTGCTTTCCTGGCTATTGTGAGTACTCGGTATGCCTGTATGACTGTGGAGACCTTCACTGAAAGGCCTGGCTGGTGTGGGTCCCCTGTCCCCTGAGTACTGTACAGGAATTATCTTATGGTATGGTCAGTCCAGCAAGTGTTTTCCTCCCCTATAGTCAAAGGGCTGACTTGGTAGGGGTGGGGATGTCAATGTAGTGGAATGCTACTCATTGCATGAGGCAGAAATGAAAGAAAGAGGAGAAAAAAGACAGGCAAAGAAACACACCACACTTGCAGAAATAAAAGTGACTCCTTGGCTCCCCTTTTAACTCTTCTGTTATTTCAATATTGGTAGAAATCCTTGAAGTAATGTAGAAGATTCTACCACAGTCCCTCACTTATGTGTTCTGTTTCTAGCCTGAAGGTTTGACAGAAGCTTATCATAGGTGGTCTCCCTCTGGATCCATTGGCTTTTGTTTCTTTTATACCAAGCACTTGCTCACAACTCCCCTGGGGGAAGGAACAAGGTTTCTGTCCATCTGTCTTTCTTTCTGTTTTAGTGTGTGTATGGGGACAGTTCTGGGGTTTTGAAATTAGATATTTGCTATTGCTAAGCAGATGCTCTGCCACTTAAGCCCTAGCCCTTTTGGCTTTAGTTATTTTTTAGACAGGTTCTTATGCTTTATTTCTGGTGCTGACCTTGGATCTATGCTTTCTGCATAGATGTGATTACAGGTGGGGCCATTAAACCTTCCTTGTTCTTTGAGATAGGTTCTCCTTAACTTTTTTGTCCTGGGTTGGTCTTGAACAGCAGTCCTTCCAATCTCTACCTCCAATTTAAAGCTATCCAGGCTTCGTGTCGCTTCATTCTTACTCCAATGGGACCCCGGATTACCGTGGGCGAATGTAGGCGGGGGCGCTTGGAGTCGGTGGTAGCGTGGCCTAGGCGTACTGTGCGATTGGGGTGATTGGAGACGTGAGTGAGTGTGTGTAGATCATTCGTGGTGTCGTTTCTGTTTGGATCGGGTTGTCGTCGAGGGAGGGCGTCGGAGGCACCCTGATTTCGGTTTCGGCGGAATCCTTTTTTTTTTTATTATTTTGGTAAAACATTTTCCTTTCTTTATTTTATTTGTGATGTTCTATTTTTTTTTGTTTTTATTTTTTCTGCTGATGATTTTTTATAGAAATTTTATGGTACTTTTTTTTTTTTTTAAGCTAATCTTTTTTTTTATTTTGCTTTATTTAGTTCTATTATTTTAGACAAAATTTTATTGTTACTTTTTTTTTTTATTATATTTAAGAATAAAAACACAAAAAAATCTTGACAAATTTTTAACCATAAAATTTTTTTAATATAAGAATATAATTATTTAAATATTATATATTTTTATTTTTTTATAGTAGTAAGCAGCTGTGCCCAGCTTTCTTATTTCTTTTTGTTTGTTTGTTTGTTTTGGTTTTTTGAGATAGTGTCTTCTTGTGTAGGCCTTATTTTTTTTTTGTCTTGTTTCTGGGAGTAATTTATACAAGCTTTCTCTCACTCTTTCCTGTTTCCTCCCTTTGGAGCATTAAATGTCTTGGGAGCTGGTCACAAGTGATTTGCTAATTGTTCACATAAGACCTTCAAAATTTGAATGTCTCTAAGTTTATCTTTTAATGATTCAATGTTGATAATACAGGATCAGATTTCCCAGTTCTGGTCTGTCCCAATCTTCAGATTTAATTTTGGACTTCTTATTTCTACTTTAGCATAAGACAGAGTGACTTGTTAGGCAGCCATGATGCCCATCCATTTCTATTCTTTGTTCTGTGTCAAAAGGAGCCAATACTCACAGCAATCCTCCATGGTCTCTTTGTTTTTATTTTCATTTATTTCTTCATTGGTCTTTCAAGAGGAACTAGTTCATCAGAAAACTTCAGAGTTGTTGAAATTCTCACAACTTTGTGTTTTAGATTGTCTCTGTGTGCATGTCACCTTTTTGATACCATGAAACACTAACCAATAATGTTTGAGGATAGCAGGTACCTTTAATACATTGCAGACATAGTTCCATACTTTACCTTTCTAAAAGATAGATTTGTGGAATATTCTGTTGCCAGGCTGGTATTTTCTTCCTTATGAAGAATTTTCATTTTCTGCCAGATGCTTGAGTAGTTCTATTTAATTTTGGATTTCAATAATTTAACAAGAGTATTTTCCAATATAATGCATGAAAATTATACATTCCCAGAATAATGTCTTTCTTGTTTTTCAGATTTGATTTCTGCTTCATTTTTGGAAAATTCTTATATATATATATATTTATATTCATATATATATATTTATATTCATATATATATATATGAATGGTACATATATATAACGCATATTTTTCCATATGCTTTCTGTTATGATTTTGAATTCTTATTTAAGAAGCAACAAGTGGATTGACTTTGAATGCTTCCTATGCCTACTAGCTTTCATCTGACTTTTGAAATGACTTTATCTTACATTAGCCTTCACTGAATATCAAGCTTTTCTTCAATATAACTACTGTGATTTTTATGCTGTGTCTGTACAATACTGTTTATCATTACTTATGCTTTAACTCTGTTTATATCATCCATTTATTTCAAAGTTGAAATCTTTCTTTTCACAAACATTTTTCCTCTTCTAATGTTTTTTTACCACATTGTTGAGTCCATTTCACTGCTCTACACTGACTAGTTCCTTGAGAATTCTATATTCATTTTTTTAATCTCAAGCTCACAGTGTATTCTCATTTGATTCCTCATTATTCATTTATGTGTGGCATTAACTTTACCATTTATTTCTATTTTGTCTGGTCTATTTGTCTGGTGAAATGACAACCTGGGATTGACCCTAGACTTCTTAATCTTTTCAGGAGAGGTGAACAGTGGTGGATATGACAGGAGGGTCTTTGATGCCATGTGTTTTGTTTTTAACCAGTGCCTCTTTCTTTCCAGTAACACCCACACTGAACATATTGCTTTTTTTCTGGCCGCGTGTCTCTGAATATACTTATTATCCCCTACATGAAGACCAGGTGTTACCACTACATACTGGTCTTTCATGTGTTTGCAATATCTTGGTAGTAATCCAGGACATGGAACAAGAGTCACCTCTCCAGCTCTTTCCATGGCAACTAATCTTCGATTGTTGGCTTCTGGATCCCCTCCTGGTGGCTTCCAGACCCTCCAGATTTAGAGCACACTGGTTTGTACCATCTCCTGTGATTTATACTTTTTCAACATTTTCCCATGCATCTTTTTACTATGTAGTCTACTCCCTTCCTATATTGATGATGTTTAGGGATTCTTCATAATTTATGGTCCTCAAAACTACCCTGTTGTTTTCAAGAAAAGTTATATCTTTTTAAACTATCATTTCTGTGATGAGAATAAATGCGTTAAACTTACAAAATTAAGGAGAAATGTAGATAGCACAAGAAACATATCTACACAGCTTACTCTCTACAGTTCGTAAAGTCCTGGTGAGGCTGTCTTTAATTGTCTTATTAGAAACTGAAACTCTCTCTGTGCACTTGCCATCCCCATTCTTTGAGTTTTCTCAGGACACCGACCACAATCTCACAGATTACATTTTTTTTTTCAGTTCCTCAGTTCAGTAGCTATAATTCTAACTATGGTTGAAATGTAATATTTTGCAGGGAGGAATATGCTATTTTTGTGTTTGCTGAGATTAGACTCAAGCCATAATATATAATAAGCACATGACTTATCAATAAGTTACAACCTCAGCCCAGTAAGCTTTCTGTTTAAGAACCACTCAATGAGTAAATAATGTATAAATCTTTGAGTGAACTTTTTTAAGGTTGAGCTAAAGGGAAAATTATATGGGCCATGGACCACAATTTCCATATACTCTATTGCATAATTCTCCTGTCTCTGTAAACAACTCTTTAGAAGAATATTTTAATGAGTATCAATTGAATCTAATTTTTATCCATCACCAAAACACCAACATCTAAGTTTCTTATCATTTTACTCATCATTTATCATAGATTATCATTTTCAGATAATTGAAAAATGAAAAATTTTCAGAGATCACCAAGATTATTTTACATAATCAATTTATATAAGAGGAGAAAATTTTTATTATGGCTGTCTGTAAGCATTGTTTGTATTTACATATTTAAAATGCATTTTAGCTATAATTAGTGAATCAAGGAAATCTAAATGCAAATGTAATAATATTGGCTTTTTTTTTTTTTTTTTTTTGCCTTAGGGGACCATGGACATTGAAGCATATTTTGAAAGAATTGGTTATAAGAACTGTGGGAACAAATTGGACTTGGAAACATTAACTGACATTCTTCAGTGCCAGATCCGAGCTATTCCCTTTGAGAACCTGAACATCCATTGTGGAGCATCCATGGATATAGGCTTGGAGGACATATTTGATCAAGTCGTGAAGAGAAGGCGGGGTGGTTGGTGTCTCCAGGTTAATCACCTTCTCTACTGGGCCTTGACCACAATGGGTTTTGAGACCACAATGTTGGGAGGATATATTTATGTCCCACTCCTTGACAAATATTCCAGTCCCATGATGCACCTTCTACTGCAGGTGACCATGAATGGCAAAATATATATTGTAGATGGTGGGTTTATATGCTCCTATCAGATGTGGGAGCCTCTAGAATTAATTTCTGGGAAGGATCAGCCTCAGGTGCCTGGCATTTTCCGATTGACAGAAGAGACGGGAACCTGGTACCTGGACCAAATCAGAAGAGAGCAATACATTCCAAATAAGGAATTTGTGAATTCTGCCCTCCTTGAGAAGAATCAGTACCGAAAAATCTACTCCTTTACTCTTGAACCTCGGAAAATTGAAGATTTTGAGTATATGAATACACATTTTCAGATATTCCCATCTGTGCTACGGGACATATCATTTTGTTCCTTGCAGACCCTGGAAGGAGTTTACTGTTTGGTGGGCTTCACCCTCACCTCTAGGAGATTCAGTTATAAGGATAATGTAGATTTGGTAGAGTTTAAGGCTCTAAAGGAGGAAGAAATAGAAGAAGTACTAAAAACTATATTTGGTATTTCTTTGGAGAAAAAACTTGTGCCCAAGCATGGTAAACATTGTTTTACTATTTAGAAATATCATTTTTCATATGTCTAAGTACTTAATCTTTTACTATGATAAAATTCAAATGTGTGCTACAGTAGATAACCAAGTAATAGACCCTTGCATAATCATCGCCCAGGTCACCAGTGGTCAACTGGTGACCTATCACATCCATATTCCCCTACATTATTTTGAAGTAAATCCTAGACATCAAATCATTTCACCTGTAAAACTGTCAGCTTATATAATTTAATTTAAAAGACTAGAACAACAGTGTAATTTAATCATGCTCAAATCACAATCATAATAAAAAATCTAATTTAATGATGATGTGTTTGTCATAGTCATTTATGATAGAAAGCCCTCCATATTGGATTATTGTTGAATTCACAGTTTTTACTAGGCAGTTGGGTGAACAGTATAGTGCAGAAACTACTTCCACGAAATTCACCTAGCCTACTCAGTTCCATGTTCACAAAATATCACTTGTACTTAGGGTGGAATGCGACAAAGCAGAATGAGAAACAATATTAATTACAAGCGCACTAAGCATTCCCAACATGAGATTTACACCATTACATAGGAATGTGTGATAAAGTGCCAAGAGAGTGACATGGCCAACAGTCTCTGCCAGGGTTGGCTTCATAGTCAAAGTTCTCCATGTATTATGTTTCTAAATTTGGTACTATTGATATTTAGAATTGTCTACTCCTGCAATTAAATAATTTATGGTAAAAGAATTATAATAAATTAAGGAATACGTGTTATATGAAAAATACATTTTCTAAAAAGTATATGAACACACTTTTGGATAGCATAATGTAAATGAAAATTCTTATTTGGACAAGTTAGTATTTTATGAGGCTATGTAACCATGGATTTTCTACAATGGAGTCTTCCTCTCATCCTGCTCTTATCTGCTAGTCATATTCTTTTAGTTCCTTTGTATTTTTTACAAATAAAACAGACATGAGGTTTTTTGTGTATACCTCAGTTCATATCCTGTAGATATAGAAAACTGTTTGATAAACCTGTGGCTAAGATTCCCAGAGGTAAGTGAGATAAGAGTTATTTAATTCAGTGTCAGACCTAAAATAACCTCCCAGTAAACATTAGTGTCAGTAATTCCAGGAAGTAGGTGAAAATATAGTAGACATTCTCCTTATAGTCTGCATAAAATTCCTCTAACTTGGAATCTTGGTCCCACTATCATCTGATGCTACATACTCAAGATCGCATCATTCATGTTCAGAATCTGAGTCTTTATTTCTCTAGAACTTAGATTTTTGGTTTGTGGATTCCAGTATCAGGGCTAAAGTTTGAAATGCAGACTTGCTTTTAGAGTATTCTTACACTTCCTTTTATGGTCCTCAAACTAAGTTAAAGAGAAAAGCAGGGAATAGAATGGATGAATATTAGTTCAGAGGTTAGGTTTCCACCTATAGATTTTATTTCCTGTGTTAACAGTAGGGAAATACTGGTGATGGTGAATATCCTAGCAAGAATGGACAAGATATTTTACATAAGTGGAAAAGAAGGAGGAAAGGTATGTTTTGGTATGATATTTTGTCACTTTCCTTACCTTCTTACTTACCTCTTATGCTCTTTTGGACAATATCAGGTTATTTCTAATACCCTTGAACAGAAAAGATTTTTTGACATTCTGACCAAGATCACTGAACCAATTCAAAATAGGTCTATGGAGAACAATGCAGTTTTGTAACAAATGCAATTGTTTTTACTTGAATATATATACTTCATAGAGAGACAAAATACATTGAAAGAGACTCAGGGATATAAAATATAGCTGTCAGATTGAAAAGTTGAATATTGAGTATATAGTGCTAACCGTACTTAATCGATGAAATCTAAATGAATAAAGGAAAAAGAAATCACTAATCTGCCTGCAAAGAGTCAAAGGTGCCTCTTTGTTTTTATCCAAAGTACTGTCTCTCCTTAAGAACCCCCAGGAGAGTTGGATGTGCCATGTCCTGTCAGGACATCAAGACTTAATTATGGACAAGGCAGAGCCCCTTATCTCTCTGGAAAGTTTGGGATAATGAATGTGTATTTCAGTTCCTTCTGTCTACATGGAAAACACACTCAATTCACACTACCCAGGGAAAGAATCTGTTATGATCCTTATACTCACATTCAGGATGTACTCTCTGATCATAAGAAGAAGCCGCTGGAAGTGGGCTCATTGTCAATTTTTATCTTTGCCCCCATCCACTTCCAGAACTGGGTGGGCACTGTAGAAGATGTGGCACTTATTGAGTGCTGACTGTGTACCTCACACTCTGATTAAAGGGAATAGAGGAAAATGCATTTTTTAAATCAATATACTACTAATATGTTGTGTTCATACAATGGTCAATGTGTCAATCAAAAGGAAATGGGGTATCCTAGGTACACCATGGATGAGCTGCAAGTCATTGTGCTAACTGAAAGAAAATATATATGAAAAATCACATAACATATGGGTATATGAAATACCTAGAAAAATTGAATCTACAGAGAACTAAAGTAGATTAGAGGTTGCAAGTGCTTAGAGATATGAAAGGGAAGTTTTAATTGAGGATATGGAAATGTTCTAGAATTGGGTTGTGATGACAGTTCCAGAATTTTGTAGTTAATTTACTGAAAATTATTAACTATACATTTCAAAAATGACAGATATATGTTTAAAAGTTATATATAAATGGCTAGTTCTACCAGCCAATACTGATTTTTAAAAATATAATCCACACAAAGTTGACAAACAACTAATCAGTTTAACCTATCTGTTAGTCCATCACTCCAGTGCACCTATTTTAAGACTTTTTCATAAGCAATAAGAGGAGGAACATGTTTAACCAACAAAGGGAAAACTCATGGAATATTTGAACCCAGTTAAGGAGAAAGGGTCAAAACCTGATTCCTGGCTGTTGCCTGCCTCAGCTTCTTGGCCGTAAAATCTCCTACTTCTTGCCTCAAAGAGGAACATTCTTCTTTCATGTGAGTTCTTTGTCTGAACAATTATTACAATCAGTATTTGCTGGTTTTCAGTTTTTGACATTTGTCCTTCCTATAAAATAAAGAAATGCTGGAGTTAGAGGTCTGAGATTCATTTGATTCATTACACTGTGATCAAATGCCTGTCTAAAACTCACATGCCAAGATGTAGGATATATGGAACTGCTGGCATCCCTAAAGCAAACACTTACTTGGCTTTTCCCACAGTCTCACCATCTCCCCAAAGCTGACATTCAGGTTTCCCATGAGGTAGTTCTCAGAAATATCCTCATAGCACCTTGTAGTTTCACAAACATGAGGCAAAGCTATCTTCCAGGGTGACAGACTTGTGCTATGCTGATCCCTCAGAGGAAAACATTGGAATGACAGTGTGAAGGTGGGAACTCTGACCCTCTCTTAGGTGAGGAGCAAAGACCAAAAGCTGATGGCTTGTTCTTGTGAATAACTTAATTTCAACATTAGCTTCAGGGTCCTGGTGACAGTGGGAAGTCTCAGATGAGGAACAAGCTGTGCCCTCTGCCTTCAAGGAATTATGTGATAATCCAGAAGTAGTGGCTATTTTAAATAATACTTTCTTATTATATTTCCTAATTGGATCTATCAGTTGTATAGGGCAAAAATCCACATACTGGATGGCTAAAACAAAACAAATTTATTACATACAGTTCTAGAGGTTAGAAGTCCAAGACCCAAGTGTCAGTAGGTTCAATTTCTCCTGATGCCACTCTCTCCTTGGTTAGAGTGACCTCCTTCTCACTGTGCTCTCACATTGTTGCCATGTGTTGTCTGTGTCCAAATCTCCTTCTCTTATAGATATCACCTTATTTTACCTTAATTATCTCTTTAAAGAGCCTATCTCCAAATACAGACACATTCTGAGTTAATATGTAAGGATATCAACATATAGATTTGAGGGGAAGGCACAATATAGTCCATAACATTCTACTCCCTGATCCCCAAAATACATCTCCTTCTTGATGCAAAATGTTTTCTCAACCTATTGCAGGATCAAAGTGAAGTCCAAAACCTCATCTAAATCAGGTATGGGTTACATTGGAAGTGTGATTCATCCCGATGCAAAATTATCCATCAATAATCTGAGAAAACCATACAAGTTGTCTGTTTCCTACATACAACATGGAATGGGCATAGAATAAGCAATTCCCATCCCCAAAGAGAGAAATCAGAAAGAAGAAAAGTATCCCAAGTCAGTCCAAAGCCAAGGCAAATTCCAGTAACCTTTAAGCCTGAACAATAATCCTCTTTGACTCCAGGTTCACTTTGGTGGCATCCTGAGACTCTGGACCACCAAGAGGAATATCCTTACCCTTCAGACTGGACACAGTGACCTGACCCACTTAGGATGGTGATTCTGAGACCAAGGAAGTGAACAGCCACATTTCAAAATGAAGGTTATGGTGGCTTTCAGTTCTGGGGTTTTCTGTTACCAAAAACTTGAAAAGCACCCACAGAACAGTGGTATGAGTCCTACCAAGGATTTACTTGGGGCCCCAAGTTTTCTCAGGACTATTTTTAAGCAACACTAACAATTAAACTGACTTAAAGGATCTCTCTTCTTTAGCAAAGAAAGGGAAAAAAAACTAGAAACAGTCTTAGGTAAATGATGGTGCTGAAAATGCCAGCCTACTTCATAGATAATCCCTCTATACTGTCTCGACTTCTGTCCTCAGGAGTCCTTGGCTTTTCCAGCAGTCTTGGTGACCTATCAACTAGAAAACTTGAGTTTGCTAGATGTGGACCTTAACATTGAACCCAGGAGAACTTTCAGACTCCTATGGTAAAGACTTGTTTTCCAAAACAGAATTAGTCATTGAAAAAAAAAAAAAAAAAAGAATTAGTCATTGATAATGTTATTTCTAGATCCATACTAAGACCCATGGGAAAGCTTTGCTTGTCAAATTGTATCAACTTGTGATTGCTTACTGTAATTTGAAAATATTTGCCATATAGAATATTTGCTTTTTCAAGAGCTTTTTTATGACACTCCTTTTTTT